GATAAATCAATATCTATCAGTTATAACCATCAATATTAATGGCCTCAATTCACCAATCAAAAGAAATAGACTGGCAGAATGGAGAATGGATTAAAAAGGAAAATGCAACAATATGCTGTATACAAGAAACACTCATAACTCAAAAAGAAACTCATAGACTGAAAGTAAAAGGATGGAAAAAAGTTCTCCATGCCACAGGAACCCAGAAGAAAGCAGGGATAGCAATCTTATTTGCAGATAAAGTAGATTTCAAATCAAAACTAATTAAGAGAGACAAAGATGGTCACTACATCCTTGTGAAGGGAACAATCTAAGAGGAAGAGATGACAATCCTAAATATATATGCACCAAACACAAATGCCCCCAACTATACAAAACAAATATTAACAGACATGAAAAACCAATAAACAGTAACACAATTGTAGTGGGGGACCTCAACACCCCTCTATCACAAATAGACAGATCATCTAGACAAAAAGTTAGCATGGAAATTCTAGAACTAAACCAAGCTATTGAACAAATGGACTTAACAGATGTTTACAGAGTGTTCCACCCCCACAAAATCGGAATACACATTCTTTTCGGCTGCACACGGGTCATTCTCCAGGGTAGATTTTTAAAGGACTCTGAGCACTCCAAATCCAAGACCTGGGCAGAGCACCTGGGCACCAAGCTGAAATGCCCGTGCTAAGTACCAAGTGTACAAAATATACAAAATGCTGGATTCTGTCGAAATCGCTGTCAAGGCAGTATGTTGATGGGTGTATTGTGCCTTTATACAATGCTCACTGCTTATTAATGATACATGTTGACAAAGAATGTCAACATTCTATTGGGACACTATGATATGGGGATATTTCAATAAAATATTAACTACAAACAATTCATATGACAGCCTCGTTTATAGGAACTTATTTTTATGAAAACCTAATAAAATCACAACATATGCATACGTGTGTGTGTGTGTCTATGCAGAAATGTCATGGGAAAGGACACATGAAAATATTCAGAGGATCCTGCATGGTAGGGAAGCAGACTGGACAAGAGAGACTTTCAGTTTGAAGCTATGTACTTATGCAACATTTGAGTATTTTACAGGAACGTACCACTGAACAACAGGTGATGGTACAGGGCTGTGACCCCAGTTGTGTGCGGAGTCTGAAGCAGGAGGATCCCAATTTTGAGGTAAATCTAGGCTATTTGGTGATTTTCTGTCTCAAAAAAAAAAAAATGAAGAAGGGTGGGGATGTTTTATCAGTAATAGAGCATTTGTCTAGCATGCACAAGGCCTCAAGTTCAATCACCAGCACAACAGAAAGAAATAGAAATAAAGAGAGAAAGAGAAAATATTTTATTAAAAAAACAAAATGAACAACTGCCAAAATTCTGCATTCTTATAAAACTAGAACCAGTTTTACCCTAATATGATATATTTTCTTTGGCCTTATAACAATCATCCGTTTCTGTATCCCAGGAAGACAAAGAAAAAAGCAAATTCAGTTGCCTAGAGATATACTGGACCATCAACAAGGACCAAAATGATAAAATAATGCTTTAATAATCACACAAGCACTACTGAGAAGCATTTTTCTTCTACAACATGAGAAATGCAGAGGCTACTACATATTTATTTGGAGGCTGCTGTTAGAATCAAAGTCACATGCTTTGCTTCATGAAATTCCTACTTCACAGTTATTGAGCACCTACCTGCTCTGTGTCAAGCTATTCATCCTTATTCCATGAAAGTTACTTGGAATTTTACAGAGCTAAGTTAAGCAAGCAGTAAAGGTAAAGATTTGCATTTCCATAAAAAAGAAAAATAAAGATAGCATCAAAAAATCTTTTTCTGTGTTATTCAGAATCCAGTAGCCTGCAGGTCTGCCTTATGTCTATTGCTTTCTATGATAATAATTTCCCTTGGATATTGGGCCTTGCTGCTGGATTCTGACTTCCTTGAAAGAAAAACAAGAATCTTTGCCCTTGTAACCCATCTGGAATGTGCAGTATAGCAGGCTTACACTTGTCCATCCAGCCAGCCTCCAAGTGTCCACAACCAGCCTAGTCAAGCATTGTGCTAGGCCCCTGAGATAGGATGTGTTACAGAGTCTACTTTCTAAATGGAGATTGGAAAAATAGATCACACACACACACACTCACACATACATTCTCTTGAATACAAGAGAATTTCAGATTGGAATAAAGTATCCGGGAAATAAAGGAGACAAGAGACGAGCAGATTGCTACTGCAGAAGGGATGACGGATCGAATCTCAGAGGTAAAATTGAGGCTGGAAACTGAAAGATGAGGAAGACACAGCTGCGCTACCTTCTGAAAGCCGAGTTCTAAGGAGGACAGGCATTAAAAAGGGGCTGGGGCTAGAAAGGACCTGGGCTCTTCCCAAGCAGACAGCACCCAGCAGGGCTGACACAGAGGGAGGGAGGAGAGCCAGCGAGGCCAGCAAAGCCCAGTGCCTGGGCAGCAGCTGACAGGCGTTCAATAACAGAATCTGACTGATGAGTTCAAATTAAATAAAACACTTGGGCTGCTGCGTGAGGAGAACGGATTATTAGGAGAGCAGAAGTGTAACAGAAAGCTACAGACAGAATGCTGGTTCTGAGGAGGGAGGGAGGGAGGAGGTTAGGAAGGAAGGAGGGGATGAATGAGAGTCAAAATAACATTATAAAAGAAAAGGCTCACGGGAATCACTTGGCCTAGATGTTTTAGCTTAATCTGGACTTCAAGTCAAATTTCAAAAAACAAAAAAAAATTATTTTTAGTGAAAGGAACAAAAAGGGATAAAAGTTTTATTTTCTAAACAGATCGCCATTCAGTTTCTTTCTTTATCCCTCTTTCTTTCTTTTCTTTCTCTCTCTCTCTCTCTCTCTCTCTCTCTCTCTCTCTCTTCCTTCCTTTCTTTCCTTAGGACAGGGTCTCACTATGGAGTTCAGGCTGGTCTCCAACTCAGCGATAATATGATTACCCTTTAAAAGACACATTTAGCTTGGTGTCTTTGTTTAAAACTATATTATTGCCAGACATGGTGGCTCACATCTATAATTCCAGCAGTGGGGAAGCTGGGGCAAGAAGATCTCCCCAAGTTGAGATCAAGGCCAGTCTGAAATATGTAGTGAGACCTTTTATTTATAAATAAACAAATAAATAAAACTATATTATTGTCTTATAGTCATAGGACCTCAAGATCACACCCTTTGACTCAACAATTTCACATCAGAACTCTACACCTTTCAGGCATATAAATGGCTGCAGGTTACTGTATAAACGGTATTTCTTGCTGCCTTGTATCTATCCATAGAGAAACGCTCTAATAGAATATACACATGTCTTCTACTTAAGGCTACATGGCCATCTAAATAAAACGTGTTATCCAAAAACGGAAGCTGTAGTATGTATGCACATGTGTGGAACGGGGGAGAGAAGGAAGGGAGAGACAGAGGAGAGAGAGGGACCTGCTGGGAACTGTGCTCTGTGACACCTCAGCCACTCACGTGTGTGGCCACTGAGCACTGTAGCAGGCTGGCTCGTCAGCATTGAGAGGCGCTGCAATCTCAATGGAAAATGTCCACTGGATTCTTAAGGCTCACAATGAAACCAAGGGCGTAAACTGTCTTCTTAATGATTTTAATGTCCATTCTGTGTTGAGATGACGATACTTTAGATGCTATGGTCTGAAGCTTAAGTGTCCCCAAAGGCTTGTGTGTGGGAAGCTTACTTCCCAGCTGAGGTTGCTGTCGGGATGTGGGGCCTTGCTGGAGGAAGGAGGGGACTTGGGCTGCCCTGGAAGGAATGTTGAGCCCCAGTGTGTGTGTGCGTGTGTGTGCACATGCGTGCAGACCTGTGTGTATGTGTGTGTGTCTTTCTCTCTCCCCCTTCTGTCCCCCACCGGCAGTTTCTTCTGCCATGTGCTCCCTGCCATGGTGGTCATCTTTGCCACAGGCCCAAAAGCAATAAATCCCACTGACAGGGACTAAAAGCTTTGAAGCTATCGCTAAATCTTTCCTCCCTCTATGTTGTTTATTTCATGTATTTTGTTGAAGCAACAGAAAGCCAACAGAGATGTATTGATTCAAATGAAATAAATACGTGCTGTTGTTGTTTTGTTGTTGTCATCATTGTTTTGAGAGTGTCCTGCCATGTACTCCTCTGATTTCCTTGAACACACTGAGTAGCCCAGCTGGCCTTGAACTCTCAGCCTTCCTGCCTCAGCCTCCTGAGTGCTGGGATCGCAGGTGTGCAGCACCATACCTAGCTACATTAAATATATTCTTTTTATTTATTTATTTATTTTTTGATACCAGGGATCAAACTCGGGTCCTTGCACTTGTGTAGCAGGTGGCAAAACCACTGAGCTAAATGCCCAGCCCTATTAAATATATTCTTAAAGCTAATGTCATCTGCTTTCTAAAAGTAGCCCTGCTGTCTTTGTAATGCACTGTGCAGATGCAGAAGGATGCAGCCACAGCACCATTGATCGGCCCGGAGTGTGGAGCTGGGAAGGTTTACATCTGCGTAAATCCAGCCAAGCCTCGGAAACTTAGTGACTTAGTGAGGCACTGTCTCAAAATAAAAAATAAAAGAAAGGCTGGGGATATAGCTCAGTGCAGGTCCTATGTTCAACCCCCAGTGCCTGCAAAGCAAGACAAAACAGAACATGTATTGGAGTGTAAAAAATTTCTATGTTACATGAATTAGATATAAAATGAACAAAAAAGTACAAATGCAAAATGTAGAAGTAACAGAAGAAAATGTATCAAGTTATCATATAGCAATTGTCAGAATAAAACTCAAACCTATAATAAAAGATTTATCAAAGGTGACCCACTCACAAAACAGTCATCTTGCTATGTACAATGGTTGAGACTGGCCTTGAACTTACTGTGTAGTCCAGGCTGACAATGACCTCATGGCAATCCTCTTGCCTCAGCCTCCTGAGTGCCAGGATTACAGGTGTGTACCACCATGCCAGGCATCACCAAGCTCTTTTTAACTGCACCATTATTCCCCTATTAATGTAAAACAGTCTCTTACAAGGTCTACTGCAGTTATCATCTTAGTATACACACCCTTGTTTAAAGATTGTTGTAAGACAAGGATCACATGGGGGCAAACCATTGATCTGCTCCTAATGTTTTGAAGTTCTTTCGCAGTAGAATTTCATGACATTGAAACATGTGTGATTCATTTTTCAGCCTGTGTGAGAGCTGCTGCCTTAATGGACTTTATGAAATGATCTCCCTTACATATCTTCCCTGAGAAAGCCAGTGTCCTCCACGACACCTAGATGCAGCCCACACACCGAAATTCATACACGGACGGCCAGGATGACCGGACCAAGCAGGCCATCTCATTCTGCAGGACCCACCTCTCCTGCAAACAGCACAGCAGCCAGGGAGCCCTCACCCTGGGAGGAGCAGTGCTCAGGCAGCCACAGGGCCACAGAGCTGGTTTATTCTTTATGAGCCAGGAGGACTCCCCGGGAGGAAGGGAGCAGGCACAGGAGCAGCAGCCTTCAGGGGCCTGAAGGGGGAGACATATGGAGAAACAACGGCCACCACGGCTGACTCGGAGCAGATGGGGGCGCCCGTGAGGGTTCACGAAGTGAAGTCACAGAGTCAGGCTCTTCTGAGCTCTTCACTGGAGAAGTCTTGCCAGAAAGCTAACCTGATTGCTCATTGAAGTCTAACTCCTGAAGACAAAGCGTCAGGGTCTGTTCTGCATGAGAACCAGGCCAGGCACTGGGAGTCAGCAATAAGCAGACAAACCTAGTTCTGTCATCTTGGGATTCACACTTCGGGACCACTGTCTCCCACCAAGGGAACCGACCCCGATGACAGTACGGATTCCTGGAGGCCTCTGCCCTCTTCCACCAGGAAAAAATATGGTTTTGGCCACTGGGGTTCTTCAGTGAAAAACACAACTTTTCCACAAAAAGATAGGTGGAGGGCCAGGGATGTAGCTCACGGGTTCCACCGCCTGCCCCTCAAGCGCAAGGACCCGAGTTTGATCCCCAGTACCTAAAACAGAAAAGAAAGGTGGAAGAAAAGAGAGGGGAGAAGGGGAGGGGTGGGGAGGGGAGGAGAGCACAGCTCCAGTTCTCTCCATGAATGGGGAAGTTGGTCAGAGGTATTTCCCCACGAGGACACAAGCAAACATGGCCACAAGCATGAAGACTGCTTCCTCGTCCCCAGGAGCTCTGTCCACACCTCAGACCTGCTGAGCATGCTTCCCAAAGGAGGCAGGAAAGAGCTGGGCAGAGGTGCTCACTGAAGGAGACCCAGCATTCAAAGACGAGTGAGCTTTGAGACTCAAAAAGAACTTTTACGATCACGTAGTCCCGATCTAGTCCTGCTTAACCTTTTAAGGATCACAGATTTTATGAAAGTTAGTGGCCCCTTTGCATTTTTATATCAAAAAGACATGCATGTATCTCAGCATACAATTCTCCTTATTTTCAGGAGCTTTGTAGACATATCATAGCCCTGACCTGCCTGGAGCTCCAGCGACCTCTATCAAGAATTCCTAGTCAGGCATGTGGCCTATGCCTTTTATAGCAGCGTTCTGGGAGACGGAGGTGGAAGGATGGTGAGCTTGAACCCAGCCTGGGAAATTTACTGACTTAGCAACAATCTGTCTCAAAATAAAATTTTACAAAAAATATTTTTAAGGCCAGGAACCTGGGTTCAATCCCTAGTATCAAAACCAAAACTTCTCAACCTGTATAAAGGCACTTCTGAGCTCTAATGCCCACAGTCTGCAGTCTCTGGGTTGGGGAGCCATGCTAGCTAGAAAACAGAAGTAATAATATGTCTAAGTTCAGCATAGGTCACAGGTGAGTTTCCAAGTGAGCTAATTATCTTTTGAAAATGGAAACAGTCTCTTAGGAGGCTGAGGGTATAACCTGCAAAACCAGTCATTTATCGGTTTTGAAAAGGAGAATGCCAAAGTGAACAATGAGGGGGCTGAAACCAACAGCAGGAAAAGGTGACACCCCAGAGGGAGTCAGGCTTGCTGCCCCTTGCTGGCCGAGCAATAATGCTCACTTGGATTCTCCATCTCGTAGACATTCTCCTCGATGGTGTAGACGTTCTCCTCGATGGGGTAGACGTTCTCCTCGATGGTGTAGATGTTCTCCTCTGAGCGAATCCCCTCTGCTCCTGCATTTGCTGATCCCAAGGGAGGAAGGTTGGCCAGAGTGATGAGGCTGTGAAAACAAAATGCTGCAGTGGAGTTAAGCATTTCTCAAGTGCCATACTGCAGAACAGGGCTAGAAGAACAGACCTTCTGAGGTGGCAGCAACCAAAGGCAGTGCGTGAGCCTTGGTGGGACACTGACTGGGGGAAATCCATAAAGTAATTTGGTGAATGGCTAAGGAAATGTGAACTGATATTAATTCTCTTAGGTATAAAACCTGCATGTTTTCTCTTAGCAATCACTGGGCAAAGAGTCCAGGTGGAGTGTCAAGATGTCTGTACCTTCCTTAGACATGGTTCAGAAAAAATCATGGTGCATATCGGGAAACAGATAAAGCCAGTGTGGCACAGGCAGAGTGAGGAGTCCAGGTGAAGGGTCACTGGGTCTTGTACTGTTATTGTTCTGTTACTGTTACTGCAATTCTCCCATGGCCTTAAGCAATTTCAAAAGGAAAAAGAAAAAAAATGAATGGTATAGATCTACTCAGATTTGAGTTTGAATACTGTCTTCTTTACCGTTCTATGGCTTGAGGAAATGGAGTTATTTTCTATTTTCATTCAAGAAATATTCAGGGTGTTACACACTGTTCTCCTTACCTACAGGTACAGCAGTGAACAGAACATGAACATCCCATGAAGACTGTATACTAGAACTTTGTGTCTCGGCATCCTCATCTATTACATGGGAAAAATGAGAGACCTACCTCACAGATCTACTGTGAGAAATACTCACTCGTGCATTTATTAATATTGGCTACTCCCAAGCTGGTGGCACAGGCCCATAAGTGCAGCTAGTTGGGAGAATGAGGCTGGAGGATCAAAATGTGGAGCCTACCGGGGAGGTAGCTTAGTGCGGCTGTGCCTGCCCGGCAAGCACAAGGTCCTTAGTTCCATACCGGGTACAAAAAAATAAGTTGGGAGGCCAGCCTAGGCAACTAAATGAGACCCTGTCTCAAAATTTCTTTAAAAATGACTTAAAAGAACTGGGGTTGTAGCTCAATGGTAGAGCACATGCCTGACACGTGGAAGGCCCTGGAATCAATTCTCTCTCTATAGATAGATAGACAGATAGACAGACAGATAGATAGATAGATAGATAGATAGATAGATAGATAGACAGATAGATAGATAGAAAATTTATAGGCATCAGGCATTGTCCTGGGGATCCTGTGGTCAATAGAGCAAAAAAGTTCCTAACTGTAGACAGAGGTTACAGTTTAGAGGTAGAGGTGAACATAAACTACACAATTGTACAAATTATGGATTAATGGATACCTATCAATTTTACCATGAATGTAATCATATTTGCATGTTTCTATTCTGATGAAGAATACTGACATGATAATTCGATTTATTTTATTTTATTTTTTTGGTACTGGGGATCGAACTTGGGTCCTTGCGCTTGCACAGCAGGTGGCAAAACCACTAAGCTAAAGTCCCGGCCCGATAATTCAGTATTTTATTTCACTTTGAATTTTATACTGCACATTATTTTGTATTTGTCATATACTATATTTTACTTAGTCTAAAAGGGTTTAGATACGATTGAATAGTTTATTTTCCAAAATGCATTGCATTCTCATGTATCAAATTTCAGAAAAATGAACAATGCAGTGATTATTATGTGAGCACTGCTTTTTGGGAATGAACGTATGTGCAGAGTCAGGAACAGAGTTTAAGAGAAGGATATACAACAGACTTGTGCTCCTCAGCCCTGACTGCATATTCCCATCACCCAGACAGTCAGGCTCGGTGGTCCAAGCCTGTAATCCCAGCTACTCAAGGAGCTGAGGCAGGAGGATCACAGGTTCAAGCTTCCCTGGGCAACTTAGCAGGATTTTGTCTCAAAATAAAATTTAAAAGACTAGGGATGTAGCTTAGTGGCAAAGCACTGCCCTAGCACATGTGAAACCCTAAATTCAATCCCCAGCACCACACACACACACACACACACACACACAGAATTACCTGGAGAGCTTTTAGAAAACTATTTCCTCAGGTCTCAGCCCAGAGATTCTGATTCATTTGCTCTGGGTTGGTCCTGCCTACTGCACACAAGTGCTCAGATGGTCCTAATATTCAGTCAGGGTGGAAATTAACTGAACTGGGCATAAAAACCCTGAGAGTAGATTCCAGGATTTTTTGTTCATTTTGGTGACCCCAGTATACAGCCCAAAACCTGGATATCATAGGCAATCAGTTGAAATTCAGTTCACTGAAAAAAAAAAACCCATTACTATAGAGATAAAAGTGATTTCTCACTAATAGGGAGATAATTATTATATCTTAAGCAGGAAGCTGAACCCATAGAGAATAAACAGAGAAACATGCTGAATTTTCATTTCATAATTAGGCCATTTTGGTCTAGATCTAGAACATCCCCTGAGAGCTCATGTGTGCAGAGGTCGGGAAGGATCATGGGGGAGCCATAGCTGACTCTGTTGTAGGATGCAGAAGAGGGGTCCCTAGGGTGAGATCTGGGCAGGCATCTCCTTCCCGGCTC